GGCTGCAGTGGCTGGGAGCAGCCACTGTACTCCAGTCTGGGCAACAGAGTGAGACTCCAACTCAAAAAAAAAAGTGAAGCTTAGAGATTTGACACTGGTAGGAAAGCCATTACTAGAACTTATTAAAAAGAATTCATTGAATGCATGTCATATGTCAAACACTGCCTGAGTGCTTTACAGACATTATCTAATTACAATTCTGTATCTGCTCCATAAGGAAAATATCATTACTCACCATTTTACAGTAAGGGAACCGGGGCTAAGAGTGGTAACATCACATACATCTTCTATGGTTTACAGCCAGGTCTCAAACCTGGGTTCTCTGATTTTCCAAATCATTTTCCCTGTCCTAGAGATGCATATAAAAATGTAGAACCTTGTCCAAAGTCAGTGCTTTACTCAATCAAGTTGAGAGACAATAAACAAAGCCCAGAAGAATGCAGCCTCAGTCAAGACTTCTTGGATAAGGCAGCTCTACAGGGCTATTGCTGAGGTATGCAGTGGAATTTTAAAAGCCCAAACTCTACCTTTTTGTCTTTGCTGAAAATTAGTCCTAAAGGGGCACATAACATCAATAAGGATACCTCATTGCAAACCAGGCAAAGGAGGGACCAGAAGGAGGCCCAAACTTTACCTATGGTGACCACTTATGTACCTAATCCTGAATTGTACCCCACATCTTTAAAATAATGATAAAATAAAATAAAGAAAATTAATCCTAGGTAGGTAACTACTATGACCAACCTAGGGAAAGACTAGTTTTTCTTAAAGCTGGCTCACTTTATAATGAAATAATGCAGGTGGATTGCAAAGAAATGTATCATTGTAATTAAAAGCCATGTCAACAGAATAAATCCCATTGGGAAAATGTCCGAAAATTAGAAGAATCATGGGACTGATTGTTTATTTCAGTTGGTATAACTGATCAGATTGGGGAGGATTTTGTAACTTCTTCAATAATTAATCCGAGTTAAACCATCAGTGGTCATAAATTAACTTAAACGAAAGACCAAGTCTATAAAAACTGGCATTCATGTATTTTTGTAATGATTACTTATGTTCTTGGTGCTGCCTAATGTGTAAATTTTATATGTAAAAGACAGTCACTGATTTACTAGTCAGCTTTAAGAAAAAAATTTATAAGACACTGATAAAGTGAAACAAATGGGATTCAAAATCAATTTTTAAAAAAGTCATGGAAAAACATTTTCCTGAAAACTACTGTAACCACAAAACAACTTCTCTGTGTCTGCCTATTTTCCTGTGCACACCTCTGTTGTATAGTTTATTACACAGTACTATGGTTATCAACCTGACTCTTCTGTTACCCCTCACCATAATTAGACAACAAGAGCTTTTGAAAGCAGAGAGTATGCCCTTCCTCCCTGTAACAACTCAGTATCAAGTACATAGTACACATATAAAAATGTTTGTTGAAAGAAAAAGGAAGTGAGCAGGAAGATAAAGTTCCCTATGGAGTAAATCACATTGTTAATGTTTGGCTTATGTTGGTGGAGTACTTTTTGTGTTTACAGTTTATTAAGTTTATTATAATCCAAACTGTTGACTTTAGGGCATGGCCATCATATTTTTATTATAGGTAGACTATTTGTCTGGGTTTATATTATCAATAAGAGGATTCTAATTGCCAAGACAATATATTGTACCTAGTAAGGAATCTCCTTTTATTTATTAAAGCATGGATAGAGAAAAGTTAGGTCACAGTTGGCAGAAAGAAGGAAGTGTGTATTCTGTATTGACACACACTTGTTCTGTATTGAAACACACTTGTTTCTGCTTCTTTTTTTTTTTTTTTTTTTGAGTTGGAGTCTCTATCACCCAGACTGGAGTGCAGTGGCACACTCCCGGCCACTGCAGCCTCGACCTGCGGCACTCCAGCAGTCCTTCCACCTCAGCCTTCCAAGTAGCCTGAACTATAGGCGCTTGCTACCACAACCAGCTAAGTTTTTATTTATTGTAGAGACGAGGTCTCATCACATTGCCTGGGTGAGTCTTGAACCCACAGGCTCAGGCAATCCACTGGCCTCGGCCTCCCAAAGTGCTGGGATTACAGGCTGAGCCACTGAGCCCAGCCTGTTTCTTTCTTTCTTTTTTTTTTTTTTGAGTCGGAGTCTCTGTCACCTAGGCTGGAGTTGCAGTGGCACACTCCCAGCCACTGTAGCCTCAACCTGCTGGGCTCAGGCAATCCTTCCACCTCGGTCTTCCAAGTAGCTGGAACCACAGAGGCTGATTTTGTTTGTTTATTTAAATTTGTTTGTTTACTTAATTAGTTTATTTAAACATGTAGTCTTGCCAAGTTGTCCAGGCTGGTCTTGAACCTCTGGGCTCAGGCAATCCTCTCACTTCCACTTCCCAAAGTGCTGGGATTACAAGTCCACCATACCCAACCTCTTCATTCTTTTTGAATCATTCTCTATACTCTGGGAGTAGCAAAGAAACTTGAACTCCAAGCATTTGACCTGACATTTCAGTGGATTAGCCTTGCAGATACAACCAATAAAGTATCCACTCAGAAGTTCTTAGTGATCCAAAGGAATTATGATATTTCTAAAGATGGAAGTTCAGACAGGATGACACAGGAAAAGCAATTTAGAGGGCTAAGTGGGCTTTTCTTGCACTCCACAAAGAACACTGCATTGGAGTCATCTATTCTGATTTTTTGTAAAGCTAGCTTTGCCTGCCCATCTTTTTTATCAATCTCGCTTCCCTTGTCCAGGGATCCCTGTTTTTTGTTCCTTTAGACTGAGAAATGAACATTTTTAAAAATTGTAGACAGAGTCTCCCTGCTTTTCCCAGACTGGTCTTGAACTGCTGGGCTCTAGTAGTCCCCAAAGTACTGGGATTACAGGCCGGCTCAGACAGTGAAAATGATACCAAATCTGTGATCCAGTTATTGTGAGCACTTTATGGTAAGGTAGTAAAGTGTAGTGAAATGAGAATG